TTGGCCACAGGCATTTTGGATCCGCGTGCCGCACATCCCATTCGGGAAGAACGGGGGGAGAGGCTGCCGAGGAGCTGCACTCGGTCAAGAGTCAAAAAAAGCGAAACAGGATGATCTCTGAACCCGAAAACCTGAACTCCCGTATGGTTCCTTTATAGCTATAAAGTTCATCGTAACGCCCAAAACCCTATTCCAATCATTACGAAGGAAACTGCTTCACCGAGCTCATTGCGTGGATTTCATAAGCACTGACTGAATCTGCTGGTTCCAGCAGGGCCTGCTTGGGCCTCCAGCGAAAACGTGGCTCTCACATGGGAGTTTCCGAAATCAGGGGATCTTACTTTTGGGGCTTAAAAAGGAACCCTACTATTTGGGGGTTTATTTTAGAAGTCCCCGATTGTTTGGTAAACCCCCACATCTTCCACATTGAAAAGAAGAGGTGCTTGTACGCAGCTTTTTGCCGCGTCGCGACCCCGAAAATCTCTCCGAGATTGCAAAATTCTTCCGCTTCCTATCCCTTCGAGGGATTCTACCTTGGACCCTTACTAGGAGTATCTTGAGGGGAACCTTTAGGGGTACAACCTTCGGGGTACGAGTCTGAATCCCTTGATCCCTCCCCGAGCCCCAAGGAAAACAGAAAGATCAGCAGTCGGTGGGATCCGCAAAGGAGTAGTACCTTGGTTGCTTCCCCGAAACCCCTTCTCGGAACAACCCTAGACAATAAACCCTAAACCCTAAACCCTAAACCCTAAACCCTAAACCCTAAACCCTAAACCCTACACCCACCCAAAGAGCCCTTAAAACCATGAGCCAAATTCGCCAGAAGGGAATTTCAGGGTAACCCAAATGGGTGATTGACCCCAAAGGGTAACCCAAGAGGGTTGAGGGTTTAGGGCCGAAAGGGTAACCCTAAACCCTAAACCCTAAACCCTAAACCTTAAACCCTAAGCCCTAAACCCTAAACCCTAAACCGCGAAAGGTACTGGTCCCTACCGTAGCCCATCTTGGCGAGGTTGGCGCACATGATCTTCTCGAAGATCGGCGGCCCGCACATCACCTAGACCCAAGAATACAAGGCTCTTAAGAGGGAGGGGGGGGGGGTTTAGGGTTTAGGGTTTAGGGCTTAGGGCTACTTCAAGGGGGGTGTGTAATCCAAGGTGGCCCAAGATTACAGGGCACAAAAGGGAGGGTTTAGGGTTGAGGGTTGTGTTTATTAATTATGGGGGGTTCTGAATGAGGGGTTCAAGGGGGGGTATGTAACCCAAGGTTCCTTCATACTCCCCAGTACTCCCTTCCCCTACCCTTTTGGGTCTAAAGGGGCCTATCAGGGCCCTAAACCTTAAAACCTAAACCCTAAAAAGGCCACTCCGGGTCCGAGTCTCGCAGACGTGGTCCTCGGAGCCGGGGAACCATAAGCGCTGTCGGATGATGCCTCTTGGGTCCAGGGTTCATGGGGTTTAGGGTCGTTTCTTTGCCACCCGCCTAGCTGAGCCCGGAGGGCCAGTCTGCAGGGACAAGCCGGGGACAGGGTTTAGGGTTTAGAGTTTAGGGTCCTGTGTAAGGGCGTGAGGCCAAGTGACTACGGGGTTTATGATGGTTTAAGGATCAACATCCGCCGATGCCTTCATCCACGAAGCCGATCCCCTGAGTCCAACCCCTTGGCGGCTTGTTGAGCACCTTAGTAGCCCAGCAAGCATATGATACGAAGGTGCCCTTACCTCCTTTATTTATCTATTTATTATATTCTTTTTAATTTTTTTTTGGGGGGGGAGGGGGGGGATTCTTTTTTCTGGGGAAGGGGGGGGTGGGGGTGGGGTAGCCCAGTAGGCATATTCTACTAAGGTTCCCCCCTGTCTTTTGGGTGGGGGGGGGGGGTGGGGTGGGGGGGGTTGTTTACTTGATAAGGGGACCAAGACCCTAAACCCTTAACCCTTAACCCTAAACCCTAAACCCTAAACCCTAACCCTAAACCCTAAACCCCTTAACAAGAAAGAGAGAGGGTACACCCCTGAGCTGCCCCAGCCACGAGGTAGTAGGAGATCAGCTCGGGGTACCGGTCCTTCAGCTTGTCCAAGGCGCTGATGAAGGCCTCGGAGGGTTTAGGGTTTAGGGTTTAGGGTTTAGGGTTTAGGGTTTATTACTCAATAGAATTCCTCTTAAACCCCATAATAAGGGAACATGTTCCCCAAAAGAACTCCTCAACCCAATACAAGTGAACATATCCCTCAATATAAACTCTCTTAAACCCAATCAGGGAATTATTCCTCAAAAAGACATCCTCTTAAACCCAATAGGGGAATATTCCTCAACATAATCCTCTTAAACCCAATGCAAGGGAAACTATGCATAAACAAAGAATGTCCCAAAAAAGCGGGTCCGACCGAGAGGCTAGATCGCCGTGGGCCTCTGCCGCGTAGACGATCCGCACGCCGCCCTCTCCGGGCGCCGGGGCCTGGTCCGGGAACTTGGTGATCATGTTCACGAAGGCCCTCACCACTTGCCTTAGACCGTTGCTTAGCAGGGGATGAGTGAAGGAGGGCCCTCTAGATACAGCCCCTTTAAGGGATTATATGATGAGGGCCCGATTATATACCCTTTAAGGGATTACATAGGGGCACCTTTCAATTCCCCCATTCCCTACTAAACAACAGTAAGTTGCACGGCCGGGGCCAGGCCTGTGCCGCCGCAAAGGAGGCCCAGCTTCTTGATCTGCCGATCTTGGTAGGTGAAGCCCCCAGAGGGCCCCTGCTTCAGCCTTAAAGGTGGTTAGTTTAGGGTTTAGGGTTTAGGGTTTAGGGTTTAGGGTTTAAGGTTTAGGGTTTAGGGTTTAGGGTTTAGGGTTTAGGGTTTAGGGTGAGTAGGGAATGGGGGAATGAGGTACCCCTTTTTAAGAACCCTTAAAGGGTACAAAATCGGGCCCTCATTCCCCTGTTCCCTGCTCACCACCTACAACAATCCCTGAAAGAATTACAAAAAAAGGCCCTCAGTTCACGGTTTAGGGTTTAGGGTAAATTCCCTCAGTTCCCCTGCTAACCACGAGAAGAGCAGCTTGGCGCCTCCCATGCCCGCCATGAGGCAGCTGGAACCCGGCTGCAGGGAGCTTAAGAGGTTCACGATGGGACCTCCCTTCTCATCCTCGGGTGGCCCCCAAAAAAAACACCCTCTGAAAAAAGATTCCTGAAACAATTATCTTCTTCAACCCCACTGAGGGAGAATACAAATTTGCCCCAAACCCTAAACTAAACCCTAAACCCTAAACCCCTTACCCCTCAACCCGAAACCCTCCGAGCATCGGTTCTGCAGAGGATATCAATGACTCCGTTGTCTTCAGGCCTGGAGATGGGAGAATAGAACCCCGTCACGGTGTCGCCATCAATCTCCCCCTTGATGCCGATGTACTGCCCTACGTCCTTAGCTGTCGGTTCGTAGGGCAATGGGGGAAATGAGAGGTACCCTAACTACAATCCCTTAAAGGGTATAACATAAGGGCCCCAACTCCCTGTAATCCCTTAAAGGGTACTTAACGGGTATATCATAGAGGCCCCTAACTCCCTCATTCCCCCTGCTAACCCACAGCCAAGCATCAAGGCCCGTGGTCTGCATGGAGCCGTGGAGCTCGAAGCGATACACGGCCGTGTTGTGCCCAAACCTCTCATCGGTGTCCCGGATCTCACGGAGCTTCACCGGAAGCCTCTACTGCACTTGGGGCGCCCTAGCAACAACTATAATCTTTTCAAGGCTGCTCCTTATATAAGGGATTATAGCAACAAAAAACTAAACTAAATTGCCAAGTGCCCCTAAGAAGCCAGGTTCCTGAGCCCAGCAAGCCTCCCTCCTTCTGCTTGATGGCCGCCGCCTTCTCCCCGGCGATGCGGCCAAAGACCACACATTCCAGGAGGCTGTTGCCTCGGTCCAGGAGCCCAAGATCCCTTACTTAAGGAATATTCCTTAAGTCATATTAAGGAATCTTCCTTAAATCCTATTCAGGACCCCTAGATAAATTTCAGAGCAAGATTCCCTAATATTAAGGGGTAGAATATCCCTCAGCTCATATGAAGGATCCCGAATATACATGTATTCCCTAGTTAAGGGGTCTTGGGCCCTTTGCCTCCCAGCCGGTTGCCGCCATGCACACCTCCGGTGCACTCGCCCGCGGCAAAAAGCCGATGGATCTTGGAGCGCTTGCCCATGGCCTTACGGTTGCTTAGCAGGGAATGAGGGAATTAGGGCTCTCTAGGATCCCTTAAAGGGTATATATAGGGGCCCTATAGAATCCCTTACAGGGTATATATAGGGGCCCTGTATAATCCTTTGAAGGGAATGTTTAGGGTATGGGGTACCTCATTCCCTTATTTTTCTACTAACCAACAGCAAGCGGCCCCGGCAGTCCGGGTCAACACCTCTCCGCTCGGAGAGATCTCCAGCCCTCCCATGCAGTAGTGGATGCCTGAGTTCAGTAACCCCGGGGAACTCAAGGTTAACCTTTTGGGATTATAGGGGGATTATGTTACCCCAAAAAGGTTAAAGGTTACCTACTCTACTACTAGGATGCAGGGAGTGATCCTCGCCACGATGAAGCTCCGGTCGTTCTCCGTGACCTTCGAGGGGAAGACTGCCTTGCCCGTCTTCGAGCAGATCTTCTGCTCCGCTGCGCTCGCGTAGTCCCGGAGCGTGTCGACGATCGTCTGCTCCTCGCAGCCCAGCAACTCCGCCAGGCCTTTCCTTACTGTTGCTGAAGGGGAATGAGGTATCCTAGATAATCCCTTTTAGATCATATAATCGGGCCCTACTTCCCTCGTTCCCTACTAACGAACAGCAAGCTTCGTCCCTTCTGCCGCCTCAAAGAGCCCGATCTGGTCCTTGTAGAAGGAGAGCATGGGCTTCCCGAACTTCTCCTCACAGCTTAGGCACCCTTCAAGAAGGCCCCCTCCCCCGCAAAGGAACATGCTTCAACTTAAGCAATTCCTCTGTTTTAGAAGCCGAAAGCCCCTAAGAATCCCTCAAAAGAATCCCTTGAAGGGCTCCTGGGACTCCTCGTTCATAACGCACCAGGACCAGGGCCTTCCCTTCGACCCGTCCGGGAGCTCCAAGGGATCGCAGTGCTCCAGGATCTTATTGGAGACCACGCTCCTCAAGTCCAGCTCGTTCACAAACCTCTGGCCCTTCCTCAGCAGATGTAGAGGACATAGAGGATATATATATATATATATATATATACAAAGAATCTCTCATATACATACACATATATTTCTCAAGATAAACCCAACACTTGGAGAGAAGGACAAGGGCTGAGGGCTTTGAAGGTTTCAAGGTCAAGGGGGTGCTGACTCCTCCTCGCCCACCCTTGGGAGGAGGGTATGATCTCGTTGGAGAGCTGGGAAATCTCCTAAGGCCCCTTACGTTCCCATGGCCCTTGCCAAGTCTTCTGATTTCAGGGCTTTGGGGTTGTGGCTACAGCCCTAAACCCCAAACTCACCTTACAGTGGCTGGGGTTTAGGGTATGTTCTTACGTATATTTCGCCCTAAACCCTAAATCCACCTTACAGAGGCGTTTAGGATGTAGGGTTCAGGGTATTTAAATACTTTAAATACATTTTCGAAGCGTCTGATCCAGGAGGATGCCCCCGCTGCCACGGAGCGCTTCAGGGCCCAGGTACTTGGTGTGGGCGCTGGGGTCCTTGAACTCCCCGGGTAGTTGCAGGGTCCGTTGTATAGTGTGGGCCCTTAGAAGGTGCCCCTTTTTTTCTCCTCTACACATTAAGGGCCCATACATCAGAACCCTTTCAAGGAGGTTAGGGACCACATTGAGGGCCCTTGAAACTACCCTTCGACGAGCCCGAAAGGCCGACGCCCCACGGTTTAGGGCATTAGGGTTTAGGGTAGCATGGCAAGCAGGAAGATATATCACTACTGGCGCCACACACTGCTCTTCACAGCATGGATCAATAGCACCACAACTGAAGTCAGACAAACTGAGGAATGTTGGGGGGAGCTTGCCGCAGAAGGACAAGTCGGGATGCGCTGTAGATGACACAGGACAGGGACTGTATAGCCCCAAGCCCCTCCACATGGTTTCGATGCTGGGGTCGATAAACGCCTGAAACCTTAAACCTTAAACCCTCAACCCTAAACCTCTCCTTTTCCTGCAACTTTTTTGGGGGTTTCGGGCTCGCCCCAGCGTCCTTGGGGTCGATCAAGGCTGTAGGATGGAGCTGAACCTTATCCATGTCGATGAGGCTCGCACCCACCTCTGGGCCGCTTTTGGGTAGCCCTAAACGCTAACCCTAAACCCTAAACCTGGTTTGGGGGCTTCAGGGCTTGGAACTTGGGGTCAAGAGCTCCGGCTATGAGGCAGGGCAGCAACCACATTGTAATAAGGGTACCCGATCTGGGATGAGGGGACCTAGAGCCAACGATGAAGGGGTTTAGGGTTTAGGGTTTTTTCTGTTTTTTTTTTTTTCTGGTTTAGGGTTTAGATGGGTTAGGGTTTAGGGGCAGAAGGGTAGCACTAGGCTACCAAGAGTATGTAGGGGGTTCTGGGCTCTTTGGGCGTCTCTCATTTGCCGGGGTCTCCTCCGCGCCGAATCTCATGCCGTCCCCAGTCGCAAAGGAGCCGTTGGTCGTGGGAACTCCGACAAGGTCGGGTCGGTACTGCTGCATCAGGCTCCCGGTGCTATGATCAAAACCGAAGCCCCCGGTTGTCAGAATCACGGCGTCGCACATCAACGTGTGCAGGGCACCTTCCCCGTCCAAGTACTCCACGCCCACGACCTCCTTCGACCCATCCGCTAGGCTGTTTTCGACCAGCTTCCTCGGCCCCGGGACTGATGCAAAGGTTTCAGGGTAGGGCCGGGTAGGGCTTGGGCGGGTGGGGTATTCCTTGCAAATGGCAAGGAGTAGGAAAGAACCCACGAGAAAGATTGAACCCTATAAGCGTCCCCCAAGCACGAGGAAATCCCGACCTCAAGAACAACTAACAGAAGCAGAGCTTCTTCATGGTGCAGGAGGTCTTCACCTCCACACCAGGGATGGCCTGGGCGGCCGCACGGGCGTGCTGCATGATGGTGTAGCCCACAGGCACGGGCGTCCCGTCCGCCTTCGGGGGACAGCGATGCGTCCGCTTCTTGGCGTGGCCACCCAGCTGGGAGAGCTCCGTGAGAGGAATGCCCAGCTCATCGATGAGCCAATGGATAGCCTCGGCGCTCTTGGAGGCCAGCATGCTCACACAGCCCAGGTCGGACGTACCGCCCTGGGCGCTGACGAAGGTGTCTCTCTCCAGCCAGCGGGCATCATCGCTCACGCCGCAGCTCTTCTGAACGCGGGTGCCGCAAGCGTTGATGCCACTGGTGGCCTTGGCCGAGTTGCCCCCAAGGTCCTTCTCCTTCTCGATCAGCGTCACCGTCGCCTTCGCCTTCACCGCTTCAATGGCCGCGCTGACGCCCGCGAGGCCACCGCCCACGATGACCACGTGCGCCGCCTCGTGCTTCTCGTGGCGAGTCTCACGGTGGCTGGGGTCCTCGGCCCCCAGAGGCCTCATGCGGACCACGCGCGGGCCCAAACGGGAGTAGAGAAGGTAGTCCATCACCGGGTCCTTGAGCTCGGCGCCCCGGAAGTTGTCCAGGAGCATGCGGGAGTCCTTCACGGAGCCCACAGCCATGGATGCAGTGGCCAAGGCGTCTGCAAGCATGCAGGAGTTCGCAACCACGGAGGAGCTGGCGACTGACTCCTCAGAGATCGTCATGGGTGACCCCTTCTTGGCATCCAGGATGTGAGACATGCCAGCGCCAAGGTTCTGCAGATAGTCCCCGGAGGTGGCGATGGCCTGGCCATCCCGGAGCTCGATGTGGGCAATGTGCTCCACCTCCCCACGCGCCTGAGGCACGTTTCCTTAGTTGTCCAGCACCTAGGGAAACTCAAGGTTAACCTTTTTGGATGATAAGGGGGATTCTACTACCCCCAAAGAGGTTAAAGGTTTCCCTACTCTACTCTACTAAGTTTCCATCCAATGGGTAGGGCTCCAGGACTGCCGCTGTCCAGTTGCGTCCCGTCGGATGCTGGCCCGTGACCTTGATGTCGCCACCCCAGTCCACGTAGCTTGCCGTGAAGCCCGCGTCCTCTTATGGTCGCCCGGCAACCCTCATTCTAATAAGGGCACGCTTGTTTTTGGGTTCAAATACTTTATAAGGGGATCCCTAGAAAAACCCCCCCCCAAAACAAAAGGGGTATAAAGGGCACCACTGGGCCAGCAAGGTCCTTGAGCTTCTGGGACATCTGGTCGATGGCCCATCCCTTAGCCAAGCCGCAGAGGTCCATCATCGCCTCAGCGTTCGTCTTCATGAGCCCCTCATCGGTGATCTTGAAGGAGGACCACTTGCTGCGGGCGATCAGGTCTGGGGAGGCCGGGCACTGGTTCTTCTTGTAGTGCTGTGTCAGGGGGAGGATGGCAGGGTCGAAGACGCCCCGCGTCATGCGGTTGATGGTGGAGACTATGTTGAGGACCTGCTTCATGGCTTCAGACGGCACATGGACCGTGTCGGCGGCAAGCTTGTTGATGGCAGACACCTCACTGTCCTCTATGAAGTGGCTGAAGGTTTTTTCAACCTCAGTGGCCACGTCATCCAACGTCTTCTGCGCCGTGGCCTCAGGGGCCTCCACTCCCCCCGTGTTGATCACCGTGACCTTGTACGGCACAGCACACCACACGCCCTCCAGGACGAAGAGGCGGCCGTCGGCCTTCCATTCCGCGACAACCTTCTCATCATCTGGGGAGGGGCCCTTGGGCTTGGTCCAAGCACCTCCGACCACCTGGCTTGCCGAAGTTTCTCCGTCTGCCTTGGGTGCTGGCGCTGCTTGGGGGGCCGCAGCTGCTGCGGGCCCTGCGGTCCCCTCCTTCGGAGGGGACGGAGGAACTTCATGGCTCTTCGAGGTGGAGCCTCCGGATCCCATGGCACGGCGCTGCTACGCGTACCTTCTAGGCGGCTCAAGAGACTGAGGACCAGGTAGCGGCTGCGAAGCGAGCGGCTTCCCACGTACTCAGGGCTCCACACTTTAGGCGCGGTCCCGAAGATTTCTACTGCTGACCAGGAGGCAGGTGCACAAACAATCCCTGCGCTCTGGAAAGCCAGGCCCCCCTCCCCCAAGCATGGAGTAGCGGACACAACGCCCAAGCCAAAAGCTGACGGGTACGCTTTTAAAGTAAGGGAACCCTTGAAACCAAAAAAAGGCAAAAAGGTACCACTGGGCAGGCACAGAAAGTTCACCGTCACCCACTTGGAGGTTCAAGTGTAGTTCTAACCCCAAAATTAGAAGTCTACTCTGAAACCTACTTAGAGGACTCAGGGGGCTTGCGCGTGCAGTTAGAATTGGGGTGTCCAGGCACCCAGGGTCCCCACAGTTGATGATTCATAGGCTTGGACATGAAGGTGAAAGGAATGAACCCTAAAAGGCCCTGTCATTTTTCCCTTTTGGCCTTTTTGAGTGAATGAGTGAGCCGAATGAACAAGCGAGGAAAGTCGTGTGTTAAAGGGGCTCTTGATAAATATACTAAACTAGCCCCTTTACCACCTTTAATAATATACAACTAGTGAATGAAGGTGGTAAGAAGTGAACTTGTGAACGACGCACGCACCGCAGTGAACGACACGTTCGTAAACTCACTCACGGGCCAGTAAAAGACTTATAATTCGGCCCGTCATGCAAATATTATTATTGGGCTAATTTTGAGGGCTTATTTCGATCGCTCCTTTAATACTAATATTATATGCGCGGTCGAAACACGCTCCCGAAATAGCATTTCGCTCTCAAGTTCGCGCATTTATTAATAGAATTCGTGCAGTCGTCATGTACCTATATAGTATATGCTTAGCAGCTTTAAGGCCCAAGTATACTAAACCCTAAACCCTAAACCCTATACTATGTAGGTACATGGACCCTTACGCTTCCGGGGGTTGAGCAGCCGGAGTTCCCCAACACGCTCCCTTACTGTGATTTTTGCTCTGAAATCTCTGGCTTGCCGTAAGTCACGGTGAGACGCTCTTGCCTCTAGGTTTATGCGGTTTAGGGTTCAGGGTTCAGGGTTCAGGGCCCGCCTCATGATGCCGTGTCGGGCGCCTGGAGCTTAGCGGCTTCCACGCGATAGGTCGCAACTATCTTCTCGGCTGAGGCGTCAATGTCGGCGATCGTTGTGTGGCAGCTGAGGACAGAAATAAGCATGGTTTTCAAGCCTTTGTAGCCAGAGGTAGATGGGTAGCAGAAGCCGTCTTGCTGCAAGCAATGAACAACTCGTGCTGTTAACGTGTTGCGGAATTCATCATCGCCTTGTCCGAATTGGGCCGAGAAGCGATTCGAAACAACCTCATTCAATATGCTGATACCTTCAACCTGACGCAGCTGATCAGCCATGCGACGTGCCAACGCGCAACAAGCATCCAGATGCTTCTCAATCCCTTGCTTGCCCAACGTCTTGATGGCAGCGTAGATAGGTACACCCCGGGCACGCCGGGAGGCACCGATACCAAAATTGATGGCGTTGCGATCGGGCTTTGCAATCGCATCTGTGAGGTAAGCGCCCATGCTGTTTCCTCCCATCGCCTCAGCCAGTAGTGCTGCATCCCGAACGATCACGATCCCACTGTCGTATGGCATGTTGAACCACTTGTGGCCGTCGGTATCCCAGGAGTCAGCCCTTTCGAGACCTTGAAGCATAGGTTTTTGCTGCTCACTGGCTGCCGACCAAAGGCCAATAGCACCTCTAGTCCACTTGGGATGTAGGCCTTCAAAGCGCCTTCCCTTCAACGCTCTACAGGCCCTAAGGACTACAGCCGCAATCAAGGTGGAAGGGTTTCGGGTTTAGGGTTTTAAACCCTAGGGTTGAAGGGCCCCACCAAACCGAAACGACCTCTGGGATGGCCCTTCAAACCCTCTGAAGAATCTTCCTAAAATGTAATCCTCTGAGACCCCAAAAGGGAAAATAGAAAATCTCCCAGAAGCCTACCTCGACCTGCACGATGGCTTGGTTCTTGGGGGGACCCGCCCTTCCTTATTGGTAGCCCCAGGAACCTTATTCTTAATAAGGGCACCTTTTCTTTTTTTTTTGGGTTGGTTGCGTGATAAGGGAACCCATTAAACAAAAGGGCAAAGGATACCACTGACTGGGCTACCAAACCTTTGGCGGCTCAACGCCCAACAGCCGGGGAGGCACCGTCAATGTGCAGCCAGGCATTCGGATGCTTGCCCACGGCATCAGCCAAAGCCTCGAATGGGTCGAAAGCACCCGAGTCGATGCCTCGGGGATACGACGGCTTCTAGAAATCCGAAGCAGGTTTGCGCCTCTTTTTTTCGAAAAGGCAGTGCTGCTAACTTGGGGCTTATGGAGGGGTCCATGAACTCTGGTATGGAGGATTTCAGTATCCCTCCCATCCATCTTACGTGCCATATCAGTATCCCCGGCACCCCTTTGAATCAAACATTGTCATGCTTGATATCTCTTGGCCCGCATTCCTGACCCTTAGGAATCTCTGGCGGAACATAAAGAAGTTCTTCCGAAGCATACCGAGAGGCAGCCAGCCTGCGCACAAACTAGTGTCGGCCCGTCGCACTCCGCAAGAACTTCAGCGATGCTCTCGGGGATGATGCGTAAGTTGCCGTCGGTTGGGAGCTTCTTGACATTCTGCTCGCCCATCCCGATCATCCACAGCGCTCGCTTGATGGCAGAATGAATCTGATCACTCACCACTACATGAATGCGCGGCGCGTCGTACAGCCCCTGCTTGGCAACGTCCCAACCTGTGCGCTTCAGAAGCGCGTTCCGCGCAGTGATCATGGCGGTGTAGATCGCTTCCTGCGCACCTGATGTGAAGCCCACGCCAGCCGCTTTGGGCAAACCCAGTAATTCCAGCAACCAGTCAGCCGCCGTCTCCTCAATCACAGCAGCCGCGGGGCTTGAAACGTAGTAAGGTGCATTCTGATCCCAGGCGCTTACCATCCAATCTGCAGCCAGGGCCTCTACTCCCCTTAGAACCTCAACAAAATAATAGCTTTCATACCCTCTTGGGTTTTATATAAACAAAACTATACAAAAGAACCCTAAACCCTAAACCCTAAACCCTAAACCCTAAACCCTAAACCCTAAACCCTAAAAAGAATTCCCAAGGGGGGATAGAGGGGCAACCGGAAAGCTGCCACCGATGGCGTAGCCGAAGTAGCGAGGCCCGCCAGAAGCTACCAAGCCCTGCTCGGCAGTCTGGCACAGCTCCTCAATCACCCTCCTGGCTTAGGGCTTAGGGCTTAGGGTTTAGAGGTTTAGAGGTTCTTAGTAGGGAATGAAGGCCCAACTCCTCAATCACCCTCCTGGCTTAGGGTTTAGGGTTTAAGAGGTTCTGAGTAGGGAATGAGGGAATGAGGGCCCCTACAGAATCCCCTAAAAGGTAACTCTCCTGGCTTAGGGCTTAGGGTTTAGGGTTTTGGGGTTTAGAGGTTTAGAGGTTCTTAGTAGGGAATGAGGGCCCCTACACAATCCCTTAAAGGGTATATATAGGGCCCTCATTCCCTCTTAGTTAATAAGAACCAGGGGGCCTCCTCCTCAATCACCCTCCTGGCTTAGGGGGCTTAGGGTTTAGGGTTTAGAGGTTTAGAGGTTCTTAGTAGGGAATGAAGGGATACAGGGCCCATTCTCTCAGTCCCTAATAAGAACCAGGGGGCCTCCTCAATCACCCTCCTGTTCATTTGGGACTTGGGAAGACGTCGGAGGGTGGGCTTTGCGGGGTGGCACTTTGCAGAGTAAGTTGGAAGCTCAGGTATGCTCTCTCTTGCCTTTAAAGCCTGACCCGAAATGGACATAAACACAAAGTAAATAAATACATATAAATAAATACAAATAAATAAACATAAAAATATATATATATATATATATATATATATATATATATATACACATATGTATATATATATATAATACATACATACATACACATTGTATACATATACAACATGTTGCAAACAGTCTACTCTGAGTCCACCCTGCTACATCCTGGCGTCGGAGGGGGCTTCCGGCAGCGGACCGCCGAGGCTCAGGCGCAGCTCCTCGCTGCCGACCTGCTTGTCAACTGGCCGGTCCGGCAGTGATTCCTTGACAGGTTCGCAGCTTCCTCTTTAGGGAACCCTAAACCCTAAACGCTAAACCCTAAACCCTAAACCCAAAAAGCCCTAAACCCTAAACCCTAAACCCTAAGTTTAAGGCGCATTTTTGGGGTTTAGGGGTTTTAGGGCTGCTTTAGGGCTGCGAGGTCTTTTCGGGGCGCTTTTTCGAGGCGACAAGGAAGACAACGGATGATGTTCAGGTACCAGTGGAAGGTTGCTCTTTTGACCTACTCCTACGGGTCCATGTACCTGTATGGTATATGATTATTTACCCATGTAGTAGCTATGCAGCCCAGGTATGTACCAATATAAAGGTACATGGACCATTAGAGCTGGTGTAGCAACCTTCAGCCATACGCCCTAGACCCTCTAAACCCTTCTTTGAAGCCCAGTCTGGCTAAACGACCCCTAAGCTCTAAGACCAACTAGAAGAATGAAACGCCTAAGGTGCCAATTAAGCTCCAAGAAGATTCCAAGTACTCGACGGCATGGCCCACGGCCGAAGTCAGCAGCTCTCGATATTGGAAAAAGTCGTGGCTCATTGCGGGCTGCCTACCAGTTCCTGCAGATTCGTCTATCAGAAGCAGAGAAGCACAGGGGTTCACCTCTTCTAAACTCATGGATCTCCTAAGCTTGAAGATGGTGATCCTGCAAGCTCTACAACTGTTGGGGCGCAGTGTGGTTTATCAGGGCAGAGCCCTTGATCTAAGGCTGATAGTTGGGATTTGAGTTCTGACGCGAGGACATCTTGCTGCAGAGAATGTGCAACGCAAGACCATTCACCCGGAATGGGCACAGGACTATGGAGGTTTTAATTACAACGTAACCATGGCCGTCAAGAGTGTGCATGCCGTGTCCTGTGCAAGCAGCGGAAGAATTTAGCATGTTCATTTGTCAACGCTTTCCCCTTCGAAAGCTGGTGTCAACTTCACACAATATCTGTATACGTTAACATGGTTTTGAACTTTCTGGTGCAGTAAGAAAGTAAACTTGAGGTAACCCCGATGCATGCTCTCTGGTTCATACAAGCATTCTTACGCAGTTCGACGGCAACGGGACCTTTTTCCATACGCCGCTGCCTCCTACAGCGAGTGCTCAAAGAAGCGAAGCCACGGCGGCCATGGCTTTGAGTGAGGTGGCCTGCCATTGGCTCCGTATGCTCCGTTCCGTGTTTGAGGCTGCAGCGCGCCGCGGCCTTGCAGCGGGCAAGGAGGGATGGCCCCGAGCTTTGTCGTCGGAAAGGCCGGACAGCTAAGTACAGAGCCACCGGAGTGATGGCAGCATGGACATGGCTTGAGATCGCAAGGGGGATGCAAGGGGAGCATGCAGGGCATGGGTCTGACTGCGCTGAGACCCAGCCATCAATCGAGGTCCGTGCGCGAGCGGCGTGTCTGTATGAGGTACTCGAGGTACTGGGCATGGGTCTATTCGGCTTCGTGGCGCGCGCCGCTCGCGGAGACTCGCGTACCTCCCGTCCTCACGGAGGCCCTCGCAAGGTGAAGCCTCACCGGCTTCGACAGGCTTCCGGATAGCAGGGGCACAGAGCAGGTACCCAGAACACACACTTCGGATGCCGCACCTCCATCACAACGCTCAAGGGAACACTCCAAATCCTCCGGAAGCTCGGTGTCTTTGGCTTCCTTGGCTTTGCTTCAAGAACCTGGCCATCGTCTGCCACGAAACGCCCAACCCGGGAGCTTCTCACCTGGCGCCGGGTGCAAGAGGCACCCGGGGCACACAAAGTCACATGAAGCGGCAGATGCCGGTGCACGCGATCTCGTTGCTTGGATCCGGAAAGAGAGGAAAGCACGGCAATGGGCTCAAAGAACTCGAGCACCTACTAATTGTGAAGGAGAATCGAAGCGCTTTTGCCCAGGATGCTCCCCACGTATCGAGGACATCAAGGAGCTGTCATCTGACATCGCAGCATTGGCGATGATGGGGGAAGGCCTTCCTGCGAACCTGACTGAAGCGGATGACGTGACTGAAGACTTCCTTCGAGGACGGGCGCACCTCAGCCCAGCCCATCGAGGCCAGCAAGGTCTACTAAGCCGACTGCGAGATGCAGGTCTCATCGCAATCCGGCGCTTAGGCTTTAGGGTTTAGGGTTTGGGGTCTAGGGTTTGGGTTCAGGGTTACAGAAACAAGGGCATCTGGAAATGAATGCTGGCTCCCACAAACCCCCTGTGCATCAGAAGCTCGGTCTTATTGCGTTGTAGCTCGGCCGTGAGCTTTTGCAGCCGCAATGGAAGCTCTCGGCTTCAGGCAGGCTGCTTGCAGAGTTCACAGGAGGTGCCGACACCTAATTATGAGCAAATCTTCGTTTCGCGCACTTTGAGCGGCCCCCATGGCTGGGCCGGATCCTCAGCGACTTTTTCGATAGAAAAATGCCCGCGGGGTAGGGTAGCAGGCATGCCGAACACCAAGCATGCCACCCACAGAGGTTGCCGAGCTTGGGAGTCTTGTGCTCAATGCATTCAGGGTGTAGGGCTTAGGGGTATGCTCTTTCGGGAGCACGCATAAGCAGGCTGGCACTGGGCGAAAATCCCACCCAGCCCCTCACTCGAGCTGATGGCTTCAAGCCATGGCGCCCACAACGTCTTCTGTGCTTGGCTCCGCCACATTGAGGGCTCGACTGTCCACATGGCACGCGCAAGCCGCCACCTGTGGCGATTAAAGCCCAGCAGCTTGCCATGATTCGGCATGTCCACATCTGTGCTCTCCGCGCCCTCTGCATACGTTGAGTACCTGGCAGACTGCCCCAGGCTTCCCGCGCGGTGCGTGTAACCTCTGCCGAAACGCACGAGCAGGCCTCCGATCTGTCAGCCTGCACCAGCGCCTAGCCTTCAGGAGCGAAACACCGGCGCTGCTCGCCAGAGCCGCAAACGACACCAAGCCCCGACTGCCTTCCGACAAGGAAGCTGAGGGCGGACTCGGCTGCTGGTGGATGGCAAGGCGAAGAGTGGAGGGCCCCTGGGAAACAGAACCTTGCGGAATCGGAGCCGCACATCGCCAACACCGAGCCACTGTGCGGGGGATCCTCAATGTCAAGTGCAGGGGCCTTGAAGGCGGCAGCGCCGGCGGTGCGTCAGGCTGCCTGGCAGGGCCTCCCCAGCCGCGGTCGAGGGCGGAGGCTGCCGGCGGGAGCATTTCACAACCAAGAGCCCGAACACGTGTCCTAAATGCCCAAGTGGGGGTTTACGATAAGCAGGGACCCCTAAAAGGGACCCCTAAAAAGACCTCTACAGTGGACCCCAAATAGCAGGATCCCACTTGTAGTGAGGTTCAAAGGTCTCACTCCGGGGGCTGTGCGGCTCCGGCGTCGGGAGGCATTCGCGATGCTCAGGGAGATGCTGGAGCAAAAAGAGGCCCCTAGGGGCCTTGTCCAGCCCAGCAGGCTAGCCCGGCAGTTAAAGGTTGGGAGAGTGGTGACCCGGGGCCCTGTGCAGGCCACGTCGTGCGCTTCGGCGTCGATCTCGGCAGAGGTTGCGTGGCTTTGGCCCCTGGTTGCTTCAGGCCTACCCCTAAAGGCATCCCAACAGGAGTGGACGACACATGCGCGCCAGAGAGCCCATGAGCCAAATCCCGTGCGACTTGCGACCCGCTGTGATGGCACCGGCGCCGCTTCTCGCCAGCCCCTCAGAAATTCATTGCTTTACGTTGCTTTACGTTGCTTTACGCTGCTTTTAGTTGGTAAAGAAACGTATCGTATTTGATGGCAATATGATAGCCGGCCTTGTCAACCTTGGCTCAACCTGCTGGCTTGCGAAGATGGCAGCTCCGGAAGCTGGAGCAGGGCCTCCTGAGCCCCATTTCTTTCAAGCCAAAAGTGAAAGCCGGCAAACGCCACAAGTCAGAAGGCCTCCCCATCCTTCGCACACCCGCGCCGTGCGGCGACGGGGATCTTCGGCATCAGTTTGGGCTCGGAAGGCGGGTGGCTAAGCGCCAGGATCAAACCTGTAAAGTCGCAGCATCCATCTGCAGCTCGGGCGCAGATTCCTCACCAAGGCAGATCAAGTGTTGGGTCTGAACCTGGCATCCATCAGAGCGAGCGTGAGCAAGCTGCTCAGAGCAGAATGGTTGGAGGCTTCCCTGCTTTCGGCTCCACATGCTCTGAGTCTGAGACATGCTGCGGCACAATTTGAACAAAGAAAACCGTGGCGAACAAAAACCAGGAGCCTCCTTCGGCTCACAGCTGCGTGCAGGGAAGCGGCTGAAGGGAGGCTGCACGAAGATCCCACGCAACTCATAGGTGGGAGCGCTGCTTGCTGGAGGCTGCGGAGCTGCCATCAGCCCGATCACCCTGATCACGGCGCGGTGCATGCGCGGCGCCGGAGCTCTCTTCTGGCCGGTAGGGATGGAGAGCCGAAGCTCTGTGGGTTGCCAAGGGAATGGACACTTCGAGCAGCTTCCACTCATTCAATGGCCAGGTGCCACTTAGGAAGTACTTCGCACACAGTGGCGTCGCACGACACGACGAGAAGGCCCCCCTCAAATTCACATAGCCGCCCCATAGTCTCTATAATAGCGAGACCCCAACCTGGACCCACCTACCGCAAGTGTTCTGCAAAAGGCATGGGAGTCGAGACCACTTGATGAGGACCAAGCAGGCACCCAGTTGGGACACTGCATCGGCACGATCTCGGCAGAGACAAACCTCCGTGTCCGAGCAAGGCCCGCTTATTGATCCGTTTAGGGTTTAGGGTTTAGGGTCCTCATGACTTGCGGTTCGTTTGTCAGGGCAGCGAAAAGGGCGGGGAGCGTTGGCGCAGGCTCCAACTTGGAGCGCCAGGCACGCGAGTCCATCCTGAGAAGCACTGCGAGAGGCTGGGGCCATGCTGCTCTGCTGAAGATTCCTAAGCTCTCTGACGCCCTTGAGGCCCTTGAAGGGCCCTTGAGAAGCCCAAACTGGCGGAGTTTTTCCCTCCCGGAAAGCAGCCAGGAGGCGAGGAGCGAAGCGGCCATGGAAGCAGTTACGAGATGCATGAGCGCTGCGCCGTGCCCTTCCCAAGCCAGCGCATCCCTGAAACTCGGATGGCCGAAACTCGTGCTCTCCACCACACCTATGCCCTTCAGTGGCTTTAGTGTCGGGGCCCTTCTGCATCTCAATGTGAACAGGTCATTGTCTGATTTTCATCGGAGACCTTCGGGGAGGGAATAGCAAGCCATCACAGAGCTCTAGCAAGACACAGAGTGAAACCCGACGTGCAAACAGTCACGCTGAGCACCCAAGTGGAACTCAGGCAGCTGGCTTTTGCCTCGAGACTCCGGAAGCCACGCTTGCCCTGCACATGTGGGCGCCCAACATGCAGCAGCCCAGGTGCCCGAAGAAGACAGCCCTCCTTGTTGCATCCATAGCAACGTGGCCGGGTGGTCGCCCACAAGAACCCAACAATGCCCAAGCCGGTAGTGGCCCTAAACCCTAAACCCTAAACCCTAAACCCTCAACCCTAAACCGGGGAGTCTGAGGCGCCCTGCACTTCAAAAGCTCCGACAGGCAGAGGCCTTTGCGCGCGAGGCTTCACGTGCACTTGGGCCCCCC